ATACAATAAAATGTATTGGTTAAAATGAATGAACTCCAAAATACTTGTTTTCCTAAAACGGTAAAAATATTCGATGAATTTATTTTTTTGAAGATGGGTGAATCTTAACGGTACTAAAGCCCTTTCGTGTGACTGATTGTGTTCGAAATAATAATCGATTGCCAACTCGGTGCCCCCCCCCCCCGCACTCTTCGCCAGAAAATCGGCCAAAAATCTTGGTGTACACACGTATATTTGTATGTGTACAACGATATTGGAGTGACGGACGTTGCGCAGTAGTTTGGCAGACATGGATATTATTGGCTTTGCTTGCGACGGTCGTCAAACATTTTTATCATCGGCCGCTGTGTTCAATCTGAAACTACCAAACAAACATGTTCCGCAACGGTTCGTGTAGCCTAACTTCTAATTCTGTAATTCCGATTATTTTTCGTGTACCTAATACATTATACGTACGGTATATTATAATATTCGGCCATTGTGACTGCCGAACAACCGCAATTGCGTTACGACACACGAAAACATGCAATTAGTTCTGCCGGCGATGCATTGTAACAATAACGATAATACGATAATTAACGTTTTTAATTGATAAAAAAAAAAAAATACTATGCTGTATATGGGCTTCTCTTCTTTAAGTTTTGCATGGTTATAATGGCGATCGCGTAATGTGCCTTTCAAGGAAGTCCATTCGTTATCAACTCGAAACACAATATTGCATACTATTGTTATATCGATGTATAGTATATTTATAAAACGATCGGTGGAGGTGTAAAATCCACTCGAGGAGGGCGTAAAGTGATATCCATAGCTCGTTTCGAATCTCCTGCGTGTTCTGCCGCAGCAATGGTCGGCAGATGTGTATTATGTGTACCACGCGTGTGGTGGGCACGACATGTCGCTGTGGAATCCTTCGAAAAGAGTCTCCCGCGATCAAAAGCAAACGGGAAACCGTCGTATATTTAAAGCTTTTTGGCTTCTATTCCAGACATACTTTGTGAATATTTGGCATCGGCCGTTGTTGGCCCGAATATCCGAGGTTTCCGTTTAAAAACGTACATGCGGACCGGCCCGGCTCCGGGCGGCGGCCGCTGCGATGCAGGCACGACGGTACGGGGAGGTGGGTTTGGGTGATTTTGGCCAGAAAACGCTGGCAAGGATTATTATTGAAAAGTGGCCAGAAGGGGGGAGGTTGAGTCGGCGACGGTGGTGGTGGTGGATAGGGTCATATCGTCGTTTGGCAATACGATTTCGAAGTTTGGCAGCTCCAGGAGTGCGCGTTCCCAGATAAGAACTCAACATTTGGCACTCCGCGATGCTGATAGGTGATGATGGTGGCGGTAGGTGTTTTCGGGGAGCACGCGCCACGGTGCGCGTATTATCATGTACTAAATCGCGTATACAGCAGTGGTATTGCGTAGTCGTCGGAGCCAAAGAAAAGCCGCGAGTGTGTGCGGGCGTTTGGCAAAGTCGTTCAGATATGTGCTCAGGCGGTGTCCCTTTCAATGCAGCGATACATACGAATCATACGTATGTACGTTGCTGTGCCGAAGAGTGTGTGATAGAACTCGATTGGGGGGATTCGGATAATATTCTCTTATCGGCCAGCGAGAATTTCACACTCGCATATGTACACGTGGTGACCGCTGAAACATACCCTCGACTGTGGCCCCTTGCATTTCCGCGTGTGTAGGGTATCCTCGTCAGCTGACGACGGTCGTCGTCGTCGACAGGCGGGAGAACGAGGAAAGGGAGAAAAACTCGTGTTTTCCGGAAACGGAAAGAGAGTTGAGAAACATCGTCGATGGCGGCGGCGGCATGGCGCGGAAGAGAACGAAAACAAACCGTCGACTTTTACTACGCTAACCCCGATCCACGTGCCCTCCCCTCTACCGCTTTCGACGGCGTGTTCCCTCCCCCCGTACTCCGTACGCCCGCGCCACCCTTCTCTTCGTTTCGGATCGCATGACCTCGCGCGCCGTAATACGGACAACGTTTCCCCTCCGCCGCCGTCGCCGCCGTTGCCCCCGCCGTATTCACCTTGACACGGTTTTCATTCACTCGTACATATATATACTCTCACAATTTATATATATATATACACATGCAATAGTATATGGTATATACAAGTATATATATATGCCGCCCCTCTTGTGCTGCAACGTGTATTTCGGTCCATTCATCGTGTACGTATGTATGTAACGTCGGTAACGGGTGTAATCTCCGCGGACTTGTGTAGTAGATTAAATGATTTTTTCGTTTTTTATCGGGAACGGTTTTCGGATCGAGTGTTTGGGATCCAGTCGAAATATGTAAAACAATAACTGCGAATCGAACGATCTCGACCGGATATTTCGTTACGCGTAGGTTTTGCGATTACGCACGAACCGTCGCGCGCCCTGCGCACGGATCGGATATTTCGCGGACTCGCCGATCCGCGAGGGTTGACGGGAAAAACGGTATTTTATGCGAACATACGCGCGCGCCGGTAAAACGACAAATAGTCGTGCAGGAGTGTACCTCGGATGCATGTGTGTGTGTGTGTGTGTGTGTGTGTGTGTGTGTGCGCGCGCGCGCCCCCGAACTCGCGCGTGTGTCTGTGCGTACGACTGCGGCCGGAGAGAGTCCCATAAGTGCCTGCTGCTGGCAAGCGTGACGGTAGTGGTGGTGTGTAGTAGTAGTAGTAGTAGTAGTAGTATCGCGCCGCCCCTCGGACTAGAGATCAATACGCACCGAAAACGCGTGTGCACGGTCTGTGTCTTTTTTTTATTATTATTATTATTATTAGTACTATTTTTTTTTTTTATTCGTTATCGCTGCCCTCTCGTCGCGCGCGCGCACACAGACCCATGAACGCAACTGTGTATATTATTTTACATACCCGTTTGGTTACGCGTGTTCGTGATGACGACGACTACCGACGTGGACGTACAGATTTTTCGAGGCTCCAATAGAAAAAAAAAAGAATAAAAGAATCTCGATAGACCCGAATGAACATGTACATATTATAGCATAATTTTTTTTCTCCCTCATTATTTCATTACTTCCACCGTCGTCCATAGATTTTCTATTCTTTTCCGCGTCCATATTATCATTATCGTCGTGCGCCGCCGCTGCTCCTTTCACGGTTCGCGTCGGACTGTCAAGACCGCACATGTGCGCGCGTACACGTAATACGTACCTCAGCGATATGCGACGTTGTCGTTCCGAGTACCGGGTGCACGTAAATAAACGCGCGTACACCGCGTTCGTACGAAAACGCGACGACGGCGGCGGCAGCGTTGGTTCGCCGCGGGTGGAGCGGTGAGCGGTGACGCGGGGTTGTGCAGTAACGGTGAGAGTGATGGGGAGAGGGGCGGTAGACGTGCGGTCGGGCGTACTGGGGAACGATGGCCTTGACACGGCAACACGGCCACTGAACCTGTCTAACCGCCGCCGCGGCCGACACGACAATAATGACGTCACTTTTGTTATTTTTTTTTCGCTACACACATATATATATATATTTCTGTATACAATACGTGTATTTTTATACGTACACGGGCTCTTACGCGTACACTTGCGCACACGTTCGTGTCCGCTTGACGAGATGATTCGTACCGGACGCGCGTCGTCAGTAGTCCGCCGCCGACGCCTCGCGTGTTTTCTGGATGATGCTGCTGCTGCGTTGCCGTTCGCGAGTTATATTGCGGCGGGCGGGCGCACGTCAAGGCCACGGAGACCTTGCGCGTCGTCGTACGCAGTGCACGGTCGCACGTAATCGCGGTGATCGACTCCCTCGGCCGTGTACCCCCAGGTACACACCGGTGGTTAGGGGTTCTCGGGCAGTGGTTCGGCAGGGACTCCCTGAGCTGCTCGCGTGACGTGCGAGGTGTTGGTTCGTCGGGGGCACGCACAAGTACTACCGGGCGGCTCCGGTGACCGGAAAACACGTTTCCGAACTCCTCGTATCAACCCTTAACCGGTTGAAAACCACTGAGCTGGTAAACAGCGTTTGGAACGAGCGCAAGCTTTTCAAAAAAATTTCGGAAAACCTGGAAACTCACTTAACCGGGAACAGCGTTCCAGACCTTATGTGTACGCTCGCGCTTTTAGGGTCGAGCGTGTTGTTGTTTTCTCTTCGGGAACGGCGACGGGCTCATCACCGGGGTAGTGGAAGCTGCCCCCTCCCCACTCGACGGGACATGTTTACACGTGTAGTACACAAATGCTGTGCATTGTTTTCTTTTTGTGTACACAAAAACTTGTAATGTACGAGTACATACGTATTGATCAACAACAATTATAACGCAGTCATTTTTTGTTTGATTTTTTTCAAAACCGTCGGTTATCCGAAATTCCTCGGACCGTGGTTGCGCAATAAGCGGTGTTAATAATGGTAGTACTAGTGTAGTGGTGGTGGCAAAAAAAAATGGTTTTGAAAATCCGTCGCGGTGTCAATCTTTGTATTGTTTTATAATCCAAGTAATAAAGCCGCACCTCGTTTTTATTAAAGCCTTGAAACAAACGTTGAAAATTTAATGTCTTCGGTTCCTTTCTTTTGCTTTTATTACCACCGAGTTTCGAATAATTTACAATGCCGGATCAATAGTCCTCTTGGGTCCCATGCACGTCACAAATCCCCAGACAAATGCATGTAGAAAAAATCGCGTGTGCATAAGACTCGGTATCGCAGTATATATACTATTTATAAATATAATCGTACGGAATATAATAATATATTGTATAGACTCTAAGAGGATTTTCGTTCTGTATAAACGCGTCTATTTTTATTACCGCGCGCTGTCGTTGTAATTATTATTATTATTATTAGTTTTTTCTATACTTGACTCCGTCGAATCGGGTTTTCTCCGTGCGATCCGTTTCTGCCCTACTGGGGGACGTTTTACCGCACACACAATGTATTCTTTTCCTGTACGTATCATACGTATGTAGTATGTAAATTATCGTATAACTGTATTACAGTGTACTATAACAAGTGTGCATTTGTCGTGTTTCAGGATTCCATCTAAGCGGAGTGGTGTGGAATCAGAGACCCGGGTCGCCATCCTACAACCATCCCGACCAGGAGAACAAAAAACACAAAGTGTCAGTCAGCTTCGACCGGTAAGTCATACTTCCACTAAACCAAATGTATACAATACAACCAAATATTTGTTCACTACACGGTATAGAATACAAACGGTCTCGTTACGATTAAAATTTATGATTTATAATTAAAGTCGTACGTAACGCGGCTGTTTGTCCTACTATGGCGTAGTGCCCTTTAGTTGTCTGATAAGTGTGTGTATGTGTGTTTTGTCCACGCCTTTTAAATAAAGTAATGAGATTAATTTTTTATAATTTTTTTATTGAATTAAAGTGACTATTTTATATTATCTCCTTCAAAGTAATTGCCCTGAGAATTCACACAGCGCTGGAGTTGATGTTTCCATTGTTCGTAGCAGTTCTGGAACTCAGTTACTAGAATAGCTTTCAGTTGGTCGGTTAGACATTTTAATATTTTCTAGTGTCCCAAAATGTTGTCCTTTAAGGTGAATTTTTATTCTTGGAAACAGAAAAAAGTCACAAAGACTCAAATCCAAGACTCGTCTCCAGTAATGACACGTTCTAAGAAAGAATGGTCATTTTCAATCTATTCTAAGAAATCGAGATACCTATCCCTCCTGTTGTCCTTTTGGTCTTGTGAAAAAATTTTCGGAACCATTTTTGCCCAGATTTTTCTCATCTCCAAATCAATGGTCAACATTTAATGAACGGTGGTGTGAGAAAATTCCAACTATTCTCCAATTATTCTGACCGTCAATTGACGATCGGGATCGGACAAGATCTCGAACTCTAATGATGTTTTCATCATTTTTTGCAGTTGAAGGTCTTCCACTGCGAAGTTCATCTTCAATCAATTCTCTGCCTTCTGAAAATGCTTTAAACCATCTAAAAACCTGGGTCCTTAAAAGCACACTTTCTCCATTAGCTTGTTGAAGCTTTTGAAAAGTTTCTGTCGCACTGTGACCAAGTTTAAGACAAAATCGGATAGCACATCGTTGCTCAAAATTATCGTCACCCATTATTAAAACGTACTAAAAAAAACTGGTTTACGAATATAATCGCCACAGACCAACACGTGGCACTACGAAGTTCAAACTCGTACTGACGGTTCATTACATGTTTATCAATAAACCTTTTCAATCGGAAAACCATTAGTGCTGCCAGATAACTACGCTATCAGTCTCATTACTTTATTTACACATATTCATATATATTTATTTTACTGCAGTTCGTAATGTATAATATATCTACTCGCAGATCGGTTTGCTGTTTAGAAAATATAATTTGAATTATTGTTACGTTTCTGTACGTATATCCGTTTCATGATTACAGAAAAAAAAACGGATAGGATAAAATTTTTATACGTATATAATATATCCGTCGTATCATGTACATTCGTGTTCTTATTATTATTATGTAATAATGTTCGCGTCATTCAATATAACAACATCCAAATGGGTTTCACGTTGAACATAAATCGACGTTTGAACTGTATTATATGTATAATGTTTTATGTATTGATGGTTGTGTTATTTTTAATTTTTTCAACTAAAAAATAACGCTGTATAAATTATTTTTTTAAGTACATTATTCATGACAACATACCTCTGTATGTTCGTACCTGTTCGTGTACGCATAATTTCATTTATTAAATTGCATTCATTCGTTATATTTGAACACACACTCGCGCATATCTTGCTTCGCTACAATATCATCGTCAGTTGGTTTTTAATTACTCTCGCATAGTTGTAATGGTCGTAATCATTCAGACGTAAATGCAATTTAAAGTGAGCATGTGTGCAGTGATACAGTATGATGGCCGTGACGAACGGTGCACTCGTATTACGCTGATTTACAAATTGTGTGTCATTTTATATTTGCATACATTTAACATGTGTTCATAAAATTATTCGTCCGAGGTACGTACGTTTGTTTAACACAAAATTTATCTGAAAAAAAAAAGAAAAACATTAATTTTTAGAGCGCGTGCGGTATAAAATGTACGTGAAAAAAATTGAAACGTAATCAAATATTTTCAGTTGAAAATACTCTGAAGTATATTTTTAATTTGTACAAAAGGAAAATCGTGTGTAGAAATACAGCACTTCTCGGAGTGGTTTCGAAGCGTTTCTTTGTGTATAGCGATTTTGATAGGCGAATTTTATAACAAACGTTTTGTGTACAAATATTATACATAGTTTTTCTTTTTTTTGTTCGTTTGCAGGTGCAAGATAACGTCGGTAACATGCAGCTGCGACACGAAAGACATATTCTGGTGTCCCCACGTTGTAGCCTTGTCCTTGTACAGGATACGGAACGCGGACAGTGTCAGGCTCAGGGTCCCCATATCAGGTAAAAATATTTTCATAGTTGTATTATTGTTGCGATTATATATCGTTACGCGGAAGTTTATGTTACACACAGAAATGTCCCGTAATGTAAACGAATAGTAACGTTGTTTGATGGAGGAATGAATAAAAACGCACGACACGTTCGATTTTCTGAACAACAACATATACTAAACAATAATATATTATAATAAAAATAATAATAATAATTATTATGATAATAGTGACAATAATTATAATTTTAATAATAATAATAATGATTATTCTAAATAATACTAATATAATAATAATTATAAATAATTGTAAAATGTCTTAATGTCATTGCCTATAGTTGACAGTAACACGTTAAATGTGAAAGTTTTCAAGACAATATATCGAATTATTAGTTTACAATGATTAAAAATACGAACAATACCGAACCCACGTTGTTACTATTGTTTGGATAGGAAAACCGTGCTCTCGTCTAGTTAGAAAATGTTGAGGGTTTACTTGTTTATCATGAACAGTTATACGCGATTCGGATTCATCGAATTCTATCTTTATAAATGGTTATTTTAAAATAGTATTTTTTAAATAGTTGTAATAACAAATACAAATCGTTGTTAAAATTAATAGGTTTAATTATAAAGCATAAGACATTTTAACGATTCCGGAAAACATGCGTTAAAGATGGGCTTAAACTGTTAAACTTTTATGACTGCAGAAAACTTATTTAAAAAGGCTTCGGATTCCGTTTGTACTTAAAACGACAAACTTCAGAAAAATATAATTGAATGCTTCAGCTTGTAAAGATTTGCTGTAAGACATTTATTTCATAGTTTATGAAACTGTAAATAGTTGATCAATTAGATGTAGTCGTATTACGTAGTTTTAAATTTTTTTTTTTTTTTTGATAAAATTAAAATTATATCAATTTATCGCAAATATCATGGCTTTTGTCGTTGACATTATTATAAATGTGCGTAGTATGAATTTCATTTAAGTACGATTTAGTTTATATATGTATATACCTATACGAAACAAGTTGGTTGAACCGGACTAGGTTTTTTAGGACAACAACTTAATAAAAATAGAATAAATAAAACATAATATGTGTTTAACTATAGATTATAATATACCACGTGAGCGTCTTGAAATTAATTTCTCTAGAAATATGCGTTCATTTATAATTTATAATATATTTATCAATAAATGTTAATACCAGTTATCTATGCATGCAATAATAATGTTTCAACATGAAAATTAATTTTTCTTTTTGTTGCTTGCGTGTTTGGCGTTAATACATACATGATTATTTATACATATTGTTCCTGTGTACATATCCATTATTTCACAACCCAATTGATTCACCTTTACAATTTTGTTTTCGACGTGTCTATACACTGTTAATTCGACTAAAAAATATCATTCCAACTCTCTGATGTGTGTGTGCAATGATATAGTTTTTTTCGACTGAGAAAAATTATTCAATTTTTCATTTCGAAACACCGGAGAACAAAAAGAAAAAAAGAAAATAGAGAACCAAAACACTTTTAATTCAGTTATGAAATAAATGTTACGTAATTGTTTTTTACCAATCATTATAGTAAAAAAAAAAAAAATTAAATAAAAAATATAACCACATCAAAACGAGCCTTTTAAATTCTGTTTTTAAGACGTTTCAGTTCGGTGCTCTTTCGTAGCGGCAACGACGGGTTGCGCAAAACTTCTATACATCACCCGTGTAGATATGGCGTAACGCCGTGTATACACACTTGTAAATATTTTTTCTTACCGATATTTTTTTTTATTTTTTTTTTTTTTTTTGGGAGATGTCAATGGTACGTTGGTTTTAACGTCAATGTTTTCCACCATTCTTTTTCGATAGAAAAATAGATTGGTCACGGAACCAAAACGAAACTGGCGAATCCAATATCCTTTTCGAATGGGAACCATCGTTTTGTATTGGAAAAAAAAATGTTATTGTTTTTTTTTTTTTATTATTATTATTATTATTATTTATAGACTTACAATATATTATTATAAACTGTAGGTAAGTACAAAAGTACTTTTAAAACATATTTATTCGGGTGAAATAAATACCTCTGATAGAAAATAGCACCGGTAAATATGTGGTAACCTTAAACATTTAAATAGCTTCAATAAACTAATATATGCACATGTGGTGGGAATAGTGACTGATAAAAATGTAACTATATTTTTCAAACAATTGTAGGTAGTGTACATACAAGTAGTATGTAGTACGATTACAACAATAATATTCTTGTTATGCTGTATTCTATATGTGCAGTAACTGAAAACAAACGCCTGAAACAAAAATAAAAATAGCGTACGTTGTTGCATAAATGTTTGATTATATAAAAGTGGAAATAATTTTACACATGATTTTTTTTATAATTTTACCAATGAAAGCCTAATTTAGGAATGAGCAAGGTTAGATCAATAAGGTGCAGTGTGAAAAATGGGTTTCTTTCTCTGTTATAATAATCATAGTTTCTATTGTTATAATTGTTTGCTATTTCTCTCTTATATCTCACTCGAAATTAAAATTTAATAATAAATTTGTTCCCAACAATTAATATTCGTTATTATTTGCCTACAACGTCACTACAATGCATAAAGTTATAAGTCTTAACAATTGAGTATAAAACAAAATTTAATCATATGATAAATTATAAGTCTCAAATATTTTATAAATTACAAATTAAGCACATAATTATGATTATGGTATTATAACAACTATAAGCAATTTATATAGTAATAGTGAGATAGAAATGTCTGAGGGTTGTTTTTTTTATAAATGATTACAACAATAATTAATAACATTACAGAGAATGTTATAAGCATTCCATGAATTGTCTTGTATTGGTCTTTGGTAGTGTATACATTTTCCTTTCTTAATATAATATTGAATAATGTTTGTACCAGCAAAAAAATTACAACATAAAAGAAGACTATCATAAAATCTCCTAGGTCCTCTTTATTTTGGAGGCCATAGGAAACTTGTCTTTTTGTGTTTAATGAAAAATATTCCATTGATGCCAACATAAAAATCTTTGATATAGTACGTATATCTCAAGCCGTACTAATATTTCTGAACGATATTTAACTGTTGGTTAAATAGTGATGTATGATGTAATTATAAATGTTCATTTTTTATTTTTTTAACCTTTACAAAATGTCAATTATCACATATGAATTTTACCTTCATTAACTGTGGGGTACATCAAAAATCGTTGATATTGCAAATTGTAAATTTTTATTTAGAAACTTTTTAGTATAGTACTAAAAATCGTTATAAATTATAATTTATAAGTAATTTACTGTTATTATTTATAAATTTAATAATGTATAATATTATAGTACAAACTAGTTTGGTGTAAATATTAAAATGTTTGCCTCATAATGAAACATTTGTTATAATATATTGTTTACGGTTTTGTATTTGTATAAGTATTTGTCATTTATTATGCTTGATAACATTCATCAACGTTATATTACACTGAATTAAGAGCATATACAGTAATTGAATAAACTTTATAAACTAAATGAATTGACAATGAAAATGTATTGAGTCATTTTAATTTTGACAAAGTCCACATTATAATTGTTTTTAAATAAGTTGTTTTTCCGAAACAAAATTTGCTATAAATGAAAATTTCTCATTAATTGGATAAATATAAAATATATGAGTATACGTTATGAATTTAATTAAAGTAACATTATAATAACTAAATAATTTTATAAATTTATTTTAACTAAAATTAATCTTAGGTAACTGAATAAAATTTGTAACTTTTAATTATCTCAAACATTTTGTTAAAAAATGTTTAAACAATAAAGAAATAGTAAAAATGTAGTAAAAATATTAATAAATCATATATTTTTTATAATAGTTATAAGTAATTAAAACAAATATTTTTTTCAAATAATACCTTTGTTTTGAAATTTTATTTTTATTGAGCTTATTCAATGGTATACGTATAAAACAAAAATAAAAGCGAAAAATTCAAATTGATATTCTTTAAACATAAAAAACCTATTTATTTTTAACTGTTGAACCGACAAAAATAATAAATATTAATAGTCAAAATGATGCACTTTTCGAAATGTGAACAATGCACGCAGAAATATATTTATTTTTGAATCCTCTACCCAATTAATGTTATAAATTATAATATTACTGTAGAAGATGTTATGAACGAGGTATTGAAGACTGGAAACTTATAAAATACTAGGCATGACTATTATACGCCCTTGCTGATTCAAAACTACGAGAAAATACGTATTTTTTAAAAAAAAGACGTAACAGGTGTCATTAAAATAATTATTTTTTTAAATACAACTTGCCTTTTTTTATTGACTTATCAAAGTACAATTTACTACGTGATTGGGTTATAGCTTAATCTAATCATTTTATTCGATTACCGAATGTCAGTCTTCGTTATCTAATATTTTATCTAAAGTAAATTTTACACGTTATTCAATGTCAAATCAGCAATAACATTTTTTTTTATTCTGTATTTAAAATGGATTTAATTATATTGTTCAAAAATAAAGGTTATTGTAAATATTTATTTGCATTATTTTATATATAATTACTGCAACATTTAGACTTGTATAGCGTTTTAAATATTATTAATAGTGTTGTTAAAGTATTGAAAACAAATGCTAATACTAATACTACCCCTATAGTATTTCTTGGTATTAAAAAAAATAATAATAATGTGCATGCATAACTTTTCCCTTGTACTTAAAAAAAAAAACAATAATAAAATAAATATTCTCTTAAATACCCTAACATTTTTGGTTGTTTTGTAGAAACACTTTTACAAATGGATAGACAACAGCTGCAAAAGTTCGTGCAGTACCTCATATCAGAACACCACACCGAAGTATTGCCTACAGCTCAAAAACTAGCCGATGAGATCTTGCAGCAACGCTCCGAGATCAATCAGATAGCCGGTGAGTCATTTGAACCGTCGTACATATTATTCAATAGAGTATCATATCGCGTTTAAGTTGGGTTCCCTGTGCGTGTCTCATCCGACCTCCTCTTCTCATCGGCGTGCACACACTCGTCCCCGCTCTGACCTAATCGTTTATTCTGGTGCGTAGACATCGTGTATACAGGGTATATCACGAAGATTTCAACATATTCCGATACGGTTTCGCTGTGTAATGCTGCGTCGTCGTCACGTCTTCGCGATACACCCTGTGCACACGTATTCGTATCTAACACTATTTGTACCTGTACCGGCTTGCGCACACATATACCTACGTGTTATATAAATATACACAGCGTGTACGTGTGATAAAATGTATAATATAATGTCCATGCTCTCTGCGCGGACAACGACCAAGTGTGTGTAGTCGAAAAAATAACTTTAATGGCTTGCGCGCGAGGTGCCCGACGACTGCGACGCACAAAAGGGGAGTTTCATTTAGTTTGACATCACCTGTCAGCCGTGAATAATGTATTTAAACAAACAAAAAAAAAAACAGTAACAATGGTCCTTTTTTTCGATTATTATTATTATTGTTCTGTGGTGCGATCATCATCGGGATCTGTACGTATGCGGCATGCATTTGTACGTTTGTGTGTACTATGTTGTGTGCTGCGACTACGATGTACCACCAAACGATTTACACACACTCGCTCACATAATTTTTATGTCCTTCGTAGACGATTTTTATTCTACTCACGTTGTTACGTTTAACGTATAAGGATTTCTTCTTTTTTTCAGACCAAATTAAAAGACTTATAATAACGGTTTTTTGACATCGTAAAAAAATATACACACAGCACTGTTGTTATCATTTCATCTCCTTCCTCCCCCTTTTATTCTTCTCCATTTCATTTTAAAGATAACAGACAAAATTATAATTTACCATAACGGACGGTTATTTTGTTTTTATAAGTAACACCATAAGTAACATTGCGATTTCTAATTAGGGATCTCTATGTAACGTACCCTGGAATGTGATAAATTTTAACGAGCTTAACTGAATAAACCGAGAATATGGATTTTGATTTTAACACAATCGTTTGTAGTCGACATTTTTTGATATGCTATAGGTTTTATGTTTGTGTTTAATTATTTATACATTTAGTACTTGTACCCAATATAATTTATAGATCGAAAAATAACGCTTACATAATGCGTAACAAATTTAATTAATTTAATAAATCAATGTAATTTACATATCTTATTAAGTAAACAATAAAAATATGAGCAAACCATGTAGTACCTACATTTATTTGAAGAAAACTAAAGTGGGATAAAATTTCTCTTTCAACGATATTTTTTTGTAAATTAAATTTTTATTTTTGATCCAACAACCCACCTGTGCTTTCCATGTAAACATTTAGAAGTTTACTTACAGGATTAGAATTACAAGCTGAATAAACGATGGAAGTATATTTTCCGTTCCACCTGTTTTATTATTATGGTGTATATCCGGTTGATATTACTTTATCACCGCTCCTAATGTTAAGTACTGTGACGTACGTCGAACAGCTCGAAAAAAATGTTTTAAGTTATATATTTTTGTATGTTTTTAACCTGCACTATCACTACTTATATCTCATTCTATGAGCTGTTATATGTTGAATGATGTGATTTAATCCACGCATAACAATTATTATTCTCGCTTTAATTAGTTTAACTGATAAAAATCTTCATTAATGTTGTTCTATGATAACATTCCGTATCTATAATTATTTATTTTTATTTGAGAAACATTAGTTTAAACTTCCGGACCAATTTACTGATTGAAATCGACTGTTTTTTTCTCATTTTAACTGGTGCAAGTGCGATTGTTTTTACGCAACATCCTTTGTAATTATCGACATCATCTAAAATAACGTTTTTTTTCCGGTTCAAATGTTTTATAAACCAATGTTAAATGACATTTCATTAACAATTAATAATACTAGTTGGTGATTTGAAATGTACAATACGTAAAGTTAACAATTTTCCTTATAATGTGCAATGGTTTCCACATTATTCAGTAAATTTTTTTCATCGTTAAATTTTAAAATACCCGTTAGATGTTAAGTTAGATTAGTACCTAAACTAACATTGTAGTCCACAAGGGGTAATTATAGAGAATTTTGATGTATACGGCAAATATAAATCCTCTTGGCCAGATTAAAAATTGGACTTCTTAATTCTCCTGCGATGCGTATCTTTGGTTGCGTACAAATGATAACAATTATTTTTTGTGGCATTGAATAAGAGACTTAGAATGAGCCATTCAACATTTGATAAATGTAATTCTGGGAAGATGAAGAAACCATTATATCGTATCCTATGGCTTTTATTCATCCAAATCAGATGTTTTAAATGTATACCTTACATTTTATTTATTTTATTCATGCAATATTGCTCATTATTTTGTTATAATTATGGTTTTCTTAAATCTGAGATAATAATAATATTTTTTGTTAATTTTTTTTTTTTAATTACTAATAAATTATGATATAATTAAAAATTAATAAATTATTAACAGTTGTAAATTAATATATTAATAAATAAATAGTATAAATAAAAGATTAGTCTGAAGTATTGTTATATTTGTAAAATACGAATGGTTTCAAATTAAAAATTCATCTTCGGGTATATGCAAAGTTAATAAAATTGCGACTGAATATGATAAAATAAAATCACAACAAACGACAAACACGAACAATTAAATTTTATTTATTTCTGTATATAAACTATTTATTTATTTATTAATTACTAATAACAGTATATTTATAGAAATTAAGATGTGGTCGTTAAAGCGAGCCATGTTAGCAACTATATATCTTAATACGGTTCTCTCTAATATAATGAAACAACCCATATACTTAGGTTAGGTATAATATATATGTGTTACACGCGTAACGAACATAATATTATTTTCTATTATTAGTTGAATTTAACTTTGTTTCCTTTAATTAAGTTATCAAACCTACCTAGTTAATAAGTGGTATAAAAAAAAAAAAAAAAAAAAATACAATAAACAATAGTTGTGCTCGAATTAAGTTTTATTATTTAATATACCGAACGTTAGCTATCTCAGCATTTAACCTATTTTATACGACCATTACGTATACACTGGCTGCAACACTACACTATCGTGTTAGACCTGACCTCCGTAGTATAATACGTAATATTGCACGAATAATCAAATCACTCATAGGATAATGTATAAGCATATTATACACACTGTATTAATAGCATAATTCTATAATAGGTTCGTCAGCCGAATTGTTTGTGTTGGAGGACAAACGATTAATTTAATTTTGTTGGAACGGATTAGTAGCGCATATTTTATTTCATTACGTCAAAATGTTATAATAAACTCTCAAAAATATATTATACGAGCCAGTAAAACTAATGACTTAGTGAGGAGCTTAAAATTTGATTTGTTTGTAGAGATGGTCGAAAAAGAAGACTGTTTTTAAGAAAATAATAGTAAAAAAAAAAAAAAAACCGAAAATATTTAGATTAGAATATGTAAAACTAGAACTATAAAAACAAAAAATGTTTGCATGTCCTGAATAGTGTTTCTCGTAGACAGTTAGACAGTTATGCCTGGTGATCTTCGACTATTTAAATATTACCACGGCATAACATTCAAGAAAGTAAGCATATTTTCTAATAAATCTATTTTCTAATATATATAACTCACCTGCCATTGTTGTAAAGGGTTTTTTTTTTTGTAGTAAGAATGGCCCTCTTCTGGAATATCAGTGTATATCTGATTCGATGGCGCCGGTGTGGCAAACAAACCCCGTGACTAATGTATTTATTCGCACTAGCCGTTCCCGTAAGCTTCATTTCTAGTCCTAACTCGATTTTGTCAGAACTCAAGTCCTTTTAGAAAGCACCCATTAGTTGTCCAAACATTATACAATTGAAGTAGGTCCGTACGAGTTAAAAGTGACTTATGTTTTTTTAGCAGTCCAAAAAACCCTATTTTTACAATGGAAATGATTTTTGATGTAAATTCTTTCAAAGAAAATGTACGTGCATTTTTAAATCAGGTATTTTACGTTACTCGTATTGTTTTATTTTTTATTTTATTTGTCGGTTAAAAATTAAAACAGAAAACACTCTTGCATAATAATATGTTATGTATTAATTATTCCGCAAATTTTGAAACGTAAAATGCGTTAATTTAATGTAGCAATGGATTGATGTAAGTATTTTTTTTGTTGACTAAGTAATTACACACTTTCTGAATGCGCTTCGTGTTTTAAGTGTTATGAGCATAATAAATTTGCCACAAGAAAAAAATATTACTCTTATAATATGTGGAGACTAAGCTAAAAAATGAATTCAACTCAGTTGAAAAGTAGACGTGGCGTAATAAAATGTGTTGTGTAGGTAGCTGATCAGTTTTTAATTATAATTCAATTTCGTTCTTTCGATTATGCTGTCAGAAAAAAAAGTTATGCAGTTCGAAAAAAGTGTGCGTATAAATAATTTTTTTTCTTAATTACTTGTTTTACTACAATTAATGCAAATAATTAGTTTTTAAAAATATTCGTGCGTAAAATATTGATACTTAAATACTTTATTATATTATTTAAAATTTTTAATTAAAATGCCATGAAAACGAATTTTTATAAATATAAGATTTAAGAATCAACTTAATTGAATTGCAAATTTTTTTAGAAATCGAACGTAGAGTTGTATTCTTTTTCGTCTAAATATATACGCCGTCTAGACGCATAAGATTTAATATTATAAATTAAGTTTCCTAAGAACGGTAATTAATTCAATCATTTTTAGTCTTTGAAATTGTTTTGTCTGTTTGTAAACTCAATATAATATTTTATAGATTTTTTTTTTTTTTTACTATAATTTTTTGTCTATTGACATGTACATACGAGTATAAATATAAGTATAGTACTCGTATAAGTCATAATGGTTATCTTTGTTACCAAATTTTTTTTAATGATACAACTGGTGGGTTTTGTTTAACTAGATATAATATGAATTACGAATTCGTCGGTCTGTATAGTATTTTTTTTTTTTTTTTGTACAATAACGCAGTCTGTTTTTTCGAACGTTGAGCAAATACATATTATCATGTGCGTTATAATATGTTTTATAGCGTAAAATTTCTAAATAAAAAGTCATTATCGGGAATTCGAGTTAGAAGTGGAAAACCTTCATTTTTTTTTTTTACCCCTTAACTTTATACGTCATAAAAGTATTTTTATAACCAATAAATTCTATTTTTCGTATTTGATCACGTCCGTATGAAAAAACGCGTAGGTACACCGAAATGAACGTTATTACATTTTGTGAATCATTGGTGATAACCGCCGGAGTAGTACCTGTCCGGTAGTTAGTTCGCCGAGCGGTAGGCGTATGTTGAACGAAATAACGACAAAGATGGTGGTGGTATGTAATGTGCATCTGTATGTTTTTCGTGTAACAATAAAAACGAACGAGAAAAGTAAATTTTTCTCTCGTCGCCATACGACCACCGCCGGTTGGTTAGTAACGTTAAGTGTACGTAGTAGCTGTGTATATGTATATAATTTGTTACACTTTCTAGTTGATTAGTGTTGTAATGTGTATGGTATCTAATGATGAGTGAGAAAGATAGTGGTGGGAGGGGGGCAGGCATCGGTCGGAAACTGAGAGGAAAGGAAAGGAAAAAAAAATGATTTTTTATCATTATATTGTGTTCTATATTTCGTCAACGCCATTTCCTCCGACCGGCACCAGCAACCAAATGGGTTTACGCGACGACGTAATGAAATGAACTTGTGTATACAACTTAGCTTTAATTGAACTTGTATAACATCATCACACAGTATAACGTATAAATCGAACGCGCGCGCGTTTATCGTGCAGATGTATTATACGTTATGCGGCGCACAAAGTATTTTATAATATTATATGTACCGGCGGCGCACGAGAGGCAGCAGCAGTGAACGGGACCTCGTGCACACACCGTGTACATATTATACATAAATACAGGCGCGCGCGCGCGACAAGCAATTGCACTAACTGTAATATCCGGTGTTCCATTGTTTTCCTCGTATTAATCTTGGCACGGCACGGCTATTATCGTTGTCGGCGTCGTAATAATAATATTCTCTCGTGCATGTATAGCCGACCCGTTTAAAAAATATACGAATACGTAATAATGATCACCGTTTTTCGCGACCCAAAATCATTTCTATAATGCTATTGCGGTCGGTTGCTATCCGAGCAGTACTCCTCGTCACCCGCGTTCGTTTTAAACGATAATACATTGGGAACGCGCGATGAATAATATCGTTGTAGTTCCTTGTGGATCTTATTAAAACGATAACAAATACGTCAGAGAACGAACCGGACGAAAATCGATTTTCACGTGCACGTGTGTAAATATGCATGTGTTGTGTTCAATTTTATAAGCGCCGTGGACGAGCAGGATACGTGCTGTATGAATAATCAGTTTTGACGGCGGTGGCTCGCGGGGTTACGGCAGTCGATAACCGCACCGATCGTGTTTAAAACATACGAACGTTCCCAACAGGGTAGGTTTTTCGTGGGTGTGAGTGCATTGTGTTTTATAGATCTGTGGCCACTCTGACCGGTTTCCAAGTGTCCGTTCGGTATTCGATAATCCCACGTCTTCCGTTTTTCGTGGTACGTCCCGTAAAAATATGTTTATACTGCGGCTAATAATACCGATGATAACCGATTACGTAGTACAATCATGATACCGTAATAATATATAGGAAACATTGGATTTGCGTCACTCTCTCTCTCTCTCTCTCTTTCCGTGGCTCGCAACGCCTTTCGAGCGGTTGTGCGCTACGAGTACACATTTCTTCGTGTGGTGGCGATCGTATTGTTCGTCGTAATCATGGTGGGAGGGAGGACGGAGAATAGAGCTTGAGTAGGGGATATGTGGACGACGACGAGGAGAAGGAGAATATTGTGTAGATCGCCGTGGGCCAACGTCTCGGGGGAGATATACGTTTCTGTGGGGCGTGGGCGGGAAACGAAGGGGAAAAATATGAAACCGGTTGTCCCGTCACTTTTTTTTCCCTACCAATTAATATCTCGCCGCCGCCGCGTACGTCCTTTGTGTGGCCGTCGCGTCTGCGTACCACTGCTGCGGAGCCGCCACACGCGTATAGGCAACCAAACGGGCACGTCATAAAGCCGTGGGACCGCATCGTCGTTCTGGAAATCGATTACCGTACACCGCCGCTGTCCGTAGATCATTACACCAAAAAAAAGGGTCGTGCCTAATTCCTGGTGGATTTGATTTATTGCCGGACCCGGTGTGTGTGTGCATGTGCGCGCGAGCGACTCGCCCGGAGCACCGTGTTCACGAAATTAACGGTGGGACGACGAAAAATGTTTTATAGAAAAATTCGAGTGGTCGGAGTATATCGTATGGTAGCTGTGTACGGGTATAATAATAGTGGCCGCGTTATACATCGATTCGTTTTTCGCGTTCCATCGTCAACCGTTAACCGGCGCGGCCGAGAAAAAATATTAAAAAATAATGTACTCGAGGATTCGCGTCTTCACGGTTTTCGGGCAGAGGTGAGAGGAAAAACAGTCGTTTTAACTGCGATCCTGTCTCTATCAGTTTGCGCGTAAGGTGGTGTACTTTGTTGTACAGTTCATTTACGTCGTCTTCTTGGATATCACGCACCACGCGCACATCCGAACAATAATTACAATTATTCAAATTGTTCGTCATTCGCGGCGAACGAAATTCATGCGACATTTTGATGTATACCATTATTTGGTATAGACCGATCAAATGTATATAAATCGATACAGGAGTGATGGTGGTAATATGCAGTACGTGTACACGGTATTGAAACGATTCCACCTTAAAAAATTACTTTTCTACTTCATTCTTCGGGGGTCCTGTACCCGAAATATGATAAGTAGACGTAAGGCCGAGCAGAGAGCTGGATAGGTTGTTTGTTGTCAGTTCGGACATAAAAAAAAGCAAAAAAAAAGTATTTTATATCGTTCGATAGGACTTTATTATACGATAGGACTATTTAAGTATGTAATAAAAAAATACGGTTCCTACGAGATTACTATATACAGAACGTACATCGGTCAAATTGGTGAATTCGTATTCGATAAAATGTACATAATAATAATATCTTAAGTGGAAAACGACAAACGGACGTTGTCGTACGCAGCAAATAAGTATATGTACTTCACATATTATATCGTATAGAAGCCAAACTCGTTCTACTCCCTACGTTTTTTTTTTTTTTTTAGATTTAATTAGGTGACCCAAAGGTCTCGGAGCTATTATATCAATTCGAGAAGCCGACAAAATGACTATTATACCACACTTGGAAGAAACGTACACTGTAGTATTTGGGGTTGACTATTGGAAATATTTATTCGTCGTATATTTTATTTCTGTTTTATTTTTTTATTTTTGCTTCCGTCGTCGTCGCGTCCTCCGATTACTTTTTCTCCTCTACGACAGTGTGTCTCGAATTATTTCCATTATAGCTGTACGCGCGTAATTAATTTTCCCTCGGAGCCACTCATTGTATATGTTTTTCCGACTGTCCATTTATAGTTGTTTGCTAATATCTACATATTTGTCATAATAAAAAAATAATTATATAAAAATCATACATAAGAATATATCGTAATACACACTTATTACGGTTTTCAAACTCGTTCTATTCGCTGTCAACGATACGAACATTATGTGATCTCAATAATAGTACAAGTATATATGTATAAAAACGGTCCTTTATCATTTTTTTTTTTTTTTATGTTACCGACGAACCAAATACAGCTAGTTTATATGTTTTTTCCCCGTTCGTATACTTATAAAATTGTATGGTATTTTTTTAGTTTTTCTGTAGTGAAATTGATCAAATTGTCATGAGAACCACAACAAACAGGTTTCTATTTCGTTTTTTCTTTCCGCATTAACGTTCTATATTTCGCGTATCACATTCTACAGTCATCGCTATAACATGCGGCATATATGCGCGATGCGTGGTATTATTCGCGTTTACCCGGAGAATAACTTTTGTTCAATTCTCGCACCATACGGATACCGTACACATATCCATGGCGTATTCTGCGGTTTATTTCTGGTGGTATGTACGGCTCTACATTATAGTGCTGGTTAATATCGATTTATGTAATGATAAACCGTGTCAAATGTTGTGTGCAGTGTGTCTAGAGACTTCGAAAATGCGTTAAATAGACTCGCGGCAGCGATACGATATGATAATGCAACGGGTGCAATCAACCAGTGGTGTGGCGAACTGTATTTATTACAGAAACGATTGCCTCCGACCTTTTAGGGGACGATTACCGATCACGTTATCTGCGTGTTTCACATATACAATTAGGGTTCCGGCGTATACACGCCTAAAGGTTCAGAATATTCGCATCGGGGTTCGCGACCGTCGAAGTTGGACCCGAAAACGGTCACGTACCTCAGCCGTCCGAAAGTTAAGGATTTCCGAGCACGTCAGAGGGTAGTAAAGCGTTCCAACGCTGCATGGTGTTGTTACAAACGTTGCGTATGGTAATTTACGACAACTGTTGCGCGGTTTTAAATGGAAAACGCCATCATGACGCGTACACGTGATGGGGCGGCGAATTATCGCGTGCAGCGAACATTTCGGTAAAACTGACTCTAGGCCATTGGTTGTCCAGTTGACGACGGTTCCCTTCTCGTTTACCCACCGCGGGGCCTAGACTACCACGTAGTACACAAATCGGTTATTATGATAATATAACCATCCGGATTTCCGTTTTCGCAGGAGCACCGGACCCGACTGCTGGGCCGAGCGCGGACGACGAGCACACGTGGCACCTGGATGAGGAACAGGTATGCGAGCAGGTCCGGTCGTACCTGACGCACGGCAGCTACTACAACGCGAACAAGCAGCTCAACTCGCTGTTCGCCAAGGTGCGCGAGATGCTGCGCGCCCAGGACTCGAACGGCGCTCGCATGCTGACGCTCATCACTGAGCAGTTCCTGTGCGACCCCAGGCTGGCGCTGTGGAAGTCCCAGGGCACGCCGATCACGGATAAGTGCCGGCAGTTGTGGGACCAGCTGGGCGCGCTATGGGTGTGCATCGTGCTCAACCCGCACTGCACGGCGCAGGACAAGAGCCAGTGGAAGACATTGCTGGAGAAGTGGACGCACGTAGACATATGTCCGCCCGAAGACCCGGACATGTTGGCACTGCCGCCTGCTTTCAACGACGTGAGTACATACTCTACATGCACATCAATACTCTCTTTCTCTTTCTCCCGAGCATTATGTACGCGATTCCTGTACCGTCTGGTTGTGTTGCAGAGAAATCACCATCCGCCCACTGAGAACGGTTTGGACGAGGACGTGGACAACGTCAACTACAGGCCGTCGTCCCGGTCTAGCAGATCGAGTCCCAGGTACAGGAGTAGTTATCCGAGCACCAGCCAGCGGATAAACCGAACGATATTCCACAGGTAAGCAGACACAACTCGTATACGTATTCATAGAATGTCTTACGTTGAACGTAGATTCTATGATCGATCACGCCGGGACTCTAAGAATCGAATTTCGGTTGGAACCGTATCGACCAGAAAATTACTCTTGTAGTCCTAACCTCGTTACCGCGGTATATTTTCGTACGCTCTTCTTGACGTTAATTTCGTTTCGCAGGGCTTTGGACGCGGTGAGCATGTCGTGGGACAATATTCACCTGAAGAACGTGTTGTCCAGCGACACATACAGCAGTCATATACCAGACAGCACGCAGTCGGGCAGCTTCAACGAGCTAGGACAGCCTCTGTGGCACGAGCTGCTGGCCACGTGCGCGTCCCGCGTGGATGCACTCAGGTCGCACGGCCACCATGCGGCAGCGCTTAGGCTGGCCGTGTGCGTGGTGCGCACCATGAAGCAGCAGCAGCTAGACGCGCAGCGCCGGTGGCAGGAGAGCCAGAAGCCGCCGCCGCCACGGTGCCCGTCCCGGCACTCCAACCCGCCGACTCGGTGCTACGAGCTGCGGCCTGCGCAATCGTGTTCATACGACACGTACTCGCAGACGCGGCCGTGCTCGTCCCGGTGCGTGTCGTGCCCCATGGTTGGCGGCTACGACCGGCTGTCCGCGTCGTCGTCCAGCGGCGGTGGCCCCATGTCGTCGGCCGCATCCTCGGCGTCTTCATCCCCGTGCAGTCTATCCCGGTGCGGGTACAATGACTCGCGGTCCGGCTACGCGACCGGCGGCGCGGGCTGTTCCAGTTATAGGTGTACGGCGTTCGCGGACGCCCCGCGGCCCAACGTGTGCACGGCATCCCGGTGCAACAGCTATTGCACTTACTACGACAATCATCCGCCGCTCCGGGTTCCGGGCCCTATGTCCGGTGGCTTTGGCGGCGGCGGCAGCAGCAGCTCCGGCCTGGGCGGTGGCGGCGGTGGCAGCGGTTCATCCGGTTACCGGTACCCCGAGCGCACCAACAGCCGGAACGGCGGTAGCAGTTCCAGCAGTTCTCGCGGCGGTGGTAGTGGCAGCGGTGGTGGTGGCATGGGTTCCAACCAGCAGACCGCCGTACTGCACAACAGCTGGACCGAAGGATGGGTCGGTCATCCGATGGACCCTATCGGCTGTCTGTTCGACACACTGACTGATGCATCTATAGTTCCTGATCCAAACGTGCCTCATTCGTCACCGTCATTTTTCGGTACGCGCTACGTTACCCCCAGTATAATATCGCGGACGACACATCGGTATACATATTTACAATGGTGTGGACGGCAAACGAGGGGGTATTTTTTTTTAGATGCCGAAAATTCAATATCCGCCTTTTTCTAAATCAAACTCTGCCGAACGCCGTGCGAGTGTTCCAAAATTCGTTTTTCCGTGTTTTCTTAACGGTTTTTATTGTCTGGGAGCTGAGGTTTTGGACAAAAATAATTCTGTCGACGCGCGTCCCACGTACGAACCGAAATGCACAGTGAGCTGGATAAAAGTGATTATATTTTCACTAATAATTTATGGAAGGACACCCTCTGGATCGCGTAGAGTTATTCTATTACGTGTTTGTGCTGCGTCGTCGTACACATCGTACCGCGTCGTCCGCGTCGTTCCCAGAAACTGCGCCGAGTCACGTTAATAATATCATATTGTGTGCTAATTCTTTGATGTTTCCCGCACAGACGCCAACGCATCCGAAGAGGGAACCCTGCGGCCCACCCCTCGTCTCACACACATACCCGTCGCCGGTTCGCAGGATCGCTCCGAAACGTACCTGTCGCTGGCCGTCGAAGTGGCACTCATCGGTCTCGGCCAACAGCGTAATATGCCTCCTGGACTGTACGCTCAGGTAATAAATCTCTGTTCAATGTACGTTTCCCCCGTAGGCTTAACGCACCGGTATTTTTCGCCCCGTCGTCCGATCGCGGCACGTGGTCTCGACAAATCGTAACGCAATACTGTTGTTCGTGTACGCTTCGAGCAATATTCCACCATCTATGTGTCCCATGCGTTCTGTGTTGTATGTAAATAGGTCTTGAGTAGAAACAATTTGTAACACGGTTTTATTTTAACTGTCAACGCGACATACATCGTCCGACGCTTGTTGTCCGTTGACATTTCGCTAGATATTTTGTTTCGCCCGAACGTTGACACCCGAACGATTCGCTAACCCCGTCTCATCATAATCGTAAGTATACGTTTTTCCTTCCGCGGTTAAAAATAACTCCATTTCAACCCCGTAGTGTCCCCTCCTCCCCGAAGCTTAGAAGACCATTGAAACTCGAAAATGTTTTAATGCTACGAAACGACGTTGCGATCATCATTATTACATTATAAATATAATATTAATATTATTACATTATAATTTTTACATTATTACATTATAAATAGAACGGCATAATATGCTGAACCGTACCAGTAAATCGGTATAACGTACAAAGTATTTTAGTACTTTTTATTCGTACACGAATCACACATACACGTAAGCGTGTTGTACTCGCTGTACGGTCGTAATCAGTAATATAATGTTCAATTAGCACCCGTGTAAAGGTAATCATAATAATATTTTAATGTATGTACCGTGCTCGCGCATGTACGTAATATGTGTTTTAAACTACAAGTGCACAAATAACCTACGTTATCATTCGTTGTTCAATTTGGCAAACATAATTATATTTCTATCTAATTTTTTTATTTTTGTCTTAATTTTTCCGACTTTATAAACACATTGGTACGTATAAACAATAACATTAAATGATGGAATCAAAATTTTTGTTCGGTTAAAAAAAATCTACATACCGTAAAATAATTAAAAGTACTACGCGTACAGTAGTGGAATATTGTTAACCGTGATACGTTCATACACGTGTATTTATTTTTATTCCTTCAATTTTTAGATGTGCGTGTGTGTGACACGTATTTTATGAGTTCTTATACAAAGGGTGGCAGTTTTTCGTTTTTATTGTAATTGTATTTTTATTCTTACTCCGCCATTCTATCAGAACTCGAAACGGAATAACATATATTTATTATATCTGTTTTACATTCAACGGTGTAGAAAATATGTCAGGACTTGAATGCGCGCAGTACTAACCCCAGTAGTTGGTGCGCGTACAAATCGTAAGCAAAGGCTCGAGCCACAGTACACGCGGAACGCATTACAATACTCGGGTTATGCACCGGCCGATTTCTTTTCTTCGATCCCTGTTCGACGCGCAGCGAACGACGTGCACACCTCTGTTATTTTTGTTATACGTTTTCGCAGCACGAGACCACTCCGCTATAATATTTCTGCCCCGGTACGAAACCGTTTCGCCAATATACGAGCGAATACACGCGTGTATGTAATATAATACCACGCGGAATTATAATGTATTATTATTACCGTTCGCGCGGCCTTTGTTGTGATTCGCAAACGCGTACAATACGGACGCACCCGGCCGCGTGTTTCGCATAGGCATTTCTGATGGATTATGATTACATTGTTGTTACCGTCTCGTTCGCGGCGCAGTGTCCATTTACCGGTTCCCTTAACTGCTAACGCGGTCGCGGATTTCAAGCATACTGCGCACGCACGTTTATGGTGACACACACATTATCGTGGGCTGCCATATTTCCAGATGCCCGTATCCAAGGTTTGCTCCGGAATAATATACTGCAACTCTCCCCCACATCCAGTGTATCTGGCCGCATTACTCCGGTGTACAGCGTATTTTTCAGTATCTTTAACATTTTAGACGATTTTCAAGTTGAAATCGCACACCGATGGTTCCTTTAGTTTTTTAATTTTAATCACAAGATTATCACCATTGTTAAAAACCAAATTTTATATTTCTATGTACATTTATCGGATATCTGCTATTATATTCAATTTTAATGTTATCGTTGGATATAATATACTACTATCTTGGACTAAACACATCTGCAGTTGTTGAGGACGGAAGGATAATTGTTTCGTATACAAGCCGCGTATTATTTTCATAGATATTTCTAAATCAAGCTTTATGTTTACTTTTGTTTCTATATACATATATTAATTCATATAAAATATACATAAACGTACATAAAAATGCGTAAACTTATTATATACACGTATTTATGCTCTCAGGTAACCGACACGATTTCGGACATTGTACGAGCGTGGTTCAAATATAAATGAGACTTTCGTTCTAAAATAAATATTTGTTATTATAAATTTTTTTTTTTTACAAGATCATAACTTTTTTAGATAGTCCCCCTCGCAAACTATGTATTTTTGCTACCTCTACGATAATTTTTTTATACTCTTTTTATAAAAATTTTACGGCTTAGTAAGTAGCCAATTGCGAACGTACTCTTCCACCTCTTCGTTCGATGTGAACCGCTGTGCTCCTAACTTATCTTTCAGAGGACCGTACATAATATAATCACACGGCGATAGGTCTGGACTATAGGGAGGGTGTTCCAATGTTTCCCAACCTTTTTAAGTTTGACTAATGTATCGCGTGTGAGCGATTCCCCATAACCTCTAACCTTCCATTTCGTGAATTTTTGATCAAAAGTGAGCAGTCTTGGGATCCAACGTACGCTAATTAGTAACTGTAATTAGTACAGTCGATAAAGAATTTTGGCAGGTTTCACATTTTCTTTTGACGAAAAACGCATGATGATACGTTGCACACTTTCGCTCGGAACTTCTTTTCCGCTCATCGTACAAAATAAACTAAAAACGGGCTTTTCGCGACTATGACTGTACTAGACAATTGCTATTAAGTCATTTCAACATCCAGTGCAGCTATACCCTCCAAACTTTATTTCTTTTCCGTAAAAACGAAGTCTCTTTTATATTTGAACCACCCTCGTATATATATACGGCATTTGTGTATTAGTCTTAAAGTCTGCACGCATATGTTTGTGTGTGTGTACATATCACTATTGCATTATACGTACTATCTGTGTGGAGAGAAGTTCACTGTATCGAAACGGCGGTCGTAACATCACGCCCATGAACAGGTTTCAAAGTTCACGGTTTTAGGCCGTTTTTACTCACGGTAACACATTTATATTTATAAATTTTCCCCCCTCGTAGTTTCGTTAAGGTCAATAAAACGGCTGGATGACAATTATGCACGCGTGTATGTGTGTGTGTGTGTGTGTGTAACTGTTTCGTATAATATCGAATTATACGTGTGCGAGTGTCGTATGATATATTTTGTTACGTAATGCGCAATCTTGAAGTATGATTTTTTTATACGATTGGTGAAAGTCCGTCCCCTATTCTTTCAACTCGTTCTGTTTAAGGTTTTCAAACTGCTTATTTTCGTTTTTCTCGTGTATGCGTGACATATAAATACATTTTTTTAACACCGTCGCACACCCAAGTTACACCGATACTGCAATACTTCGGATTTGCCACAAAACAATCTATAATATTTACGTGGTGTTTTAAATACGCTTGTCTAGCGAATAAACACGGAGTAGTTATCCCCCGTCGGAATCTACTCGTTTTCCTAATCATCAACCCGTCAAACGCCTGTTAAATCGCGATTATAATATATTTTCGTACATTGATACACAGTTGGTCTCCTGCGGTTTTAACTGTACCCAATCTATCTGTAAACGTACGCGCACTCTAAAAGTATCGAAAAACGATACTTTAAATCGAATTTTTATGTGGTGAACTAACTACATACACTTTATATTGTCAGTCACCGTTGTTTGTATTATTAGACTGCCAGTGGACTGAAATTAATTTCGAAAAAAAGAGAAAAAATAATACTTTTTAATCAATTCCAACCCTCGGTTGCTTGCGTCAAAGTAGTAAATTTTTTTATTTTTATTTTTTCCAATAACGTCACATCATCGTTTATTAATGACAATCGGTAGAAAGAAATAAAGAAAAAATACATTAATTTTAATACATAAAAGAATGAAGTTTTTAATAATGCAGAAATTCGTTATTAAATGTTTTACGTGTGCGCATGCATTACATCTAGGTCATAGCAATCTCTATAGATAATTATGATTTATATATTATTTTCTATTAAAAAGTTTGGCGCGTATAAAAAAAAATTAAAATTAATTTTCGAAGATTAACCTTCTTAATTATGAGATCGTACTTTTGTTTTTTGAATTAATAAAGAAAAAACTTCATAGACGTAATTAAAAAAAATGATTCCTTCAAAACGGTTTCATAAAAATGACCTGATACAAATTCGGGGGCTAATTCTACTACGTAAGTTACGAATCGAAAAAATGAGGTCGTCCGCATATTTGTATTTATCGAGAAAACAATTTCGCTTGTGAAACTTAACGCTAAACCAACTCTAATAATTTATAACACGTTTCCTAAAGTGTATGTGTGTGTTTGTCCAACCTTGAGTATTATTTATTACCTAGTCGCGTAGATATTAGACTATTTGAGATACAAAGCCTACAATTATACTGTTTCGAATAAATATATACTCGAAGCACAAAGGTTTTTAGTATTTTTTTTCCACGTACCGTCTGTATACATCACCTTATAATAATTAAATTCGCGTACACATTTAAGCGTACGTGGTGCATTAATTGGGATAAATTACATATCCCCACGGTGTGTATGCATAAATACCATGCACTGTTTTACTTAATACACAACGTTACAATATTATATTCAGAGTGATTATTTGTTGTCTTTAGTCGGTATTTTTATTTACTTTTCGTAATGTAATTTTTTTTTCTTCGTTGAATACATTTTAAACGTATACGGAGATTCACGGACACTACATTTTTCGCCAACTCCTTCTTTTATATTCGATTTTTAAAAAGGTGTGCTGGTGTGTAGCCTGTTGTAAACGAAAAGAGTAAATGTACCACTTCTACCATACCTATATTCTGTATATTACACGCATGGCAGCAAACACTAAAGTGGTAGTGGTGGGTCCACAATCTAAATTAAAATAATTGAATTATGGATGAAAGTAAAAGAAGATAAAATAAAAGAAAATAAAAAATGAAAAAGAATAATGAACGGTTGTGAGACGCGCGTTATATGTGCGTGGGCATATATGCGTACGTATACTTATAGGTATATACATATATTTACTGTTGGTGAAAAAGCTGTTGTACCCCCAAACACGCGAGGGGGCAGAGAAGAAAAAATCATTGTGAAGATGAATGAGCCGAAGAATTTGTGTCTGGGTTTTTGATTTTAAAAAAAGTATTCTCGCACCTCAGCCACACCGGTTTGGTCTGATAAGGGGGAGGAGTGCGTCTGAAAATTGAATTAAATATGAATTCCTCTGGACGACGTGCGCTTTGTTGTAAAATAAAATCGTATTGATATAAATGTTAGGTACATTTGGCTGTTATTATTAAACGAGTATTATACTATACAATGCAGTGTTTGAATCAATCATTTCTGTACTTTTCTTTCTCCGCACTATATATCGCTATTATTCAATGTCATCCGATGTACGATTAAACATCGAAATATAGCGTTATGACGAGAAGAAATCTCGGCGAAAAAAAATAAATGATTATCATACATATACAATATATGTGTATGTTCTAATAAATTATTTAAAACTATTGTATATATTATTTATTTATTACTACAATATTTATTTTTATTATTTGTCCTTTTTGTCGTTTCGCAAAAGATTTACGCACAAAATCATCATATTAAATCCTATATATTCATGTAAACTCAACTATACATACCGACTTGGTGGCGCCAAGCTCTGAACATATTTGTACAGCAAAATCTAAAATCTAGGATTCTCTCTCTGATACGTAGTCTAAAATCCTAATATTAATCTACGCAAATTGTTCGGGTATCCTTTACCTTTTTTATTTAAGATATGAAACAGCTGCTTATCTTGGCATATTATTTCGGAACCAATATGTATTGTTAATATGATATTCTTGACGAAGTGTTGCATATATAATGTGTTGTAGTAGTATCTGCGATTTTTCCACGCGATACTTCTTGCTGCGTTCGCGTGACGATGCGTAGAAATAAAAACAAAAACCCTTTGTATCGCGAGAAAACTTAAGGGGATGAAAAATACGAACATAAGAAAAAATTGTACCTACGTCGTCACCCATTCGCGTTTCTCCATTGTTCCCTGTCGAGCCATTTCACTGGTTCGTGTCTGCAAACGACAACAATGTTGTGCAGCAGCGGTGGAAAAAATCTAACTAATTTTTGATTTCTTCCCGGTCATTTTCGCAGGAAAAGGCGTGCAAACAAGAAGACAGACTGATAGCCAAACTACAAGAACTGGATATGGATTCGAATCTTGTGGGTGTTCTACGTCGGCAGGCCATAGTGCTGTTGGAAGGAGGTCCAACCAGTGGCCTAGGCCATGGCGTTCACAGGGACAGCATACCTATGCACACGTTCGCCCGTTTCCTATTCGTCGCACTGCTCGACTACTACCCTGATCTGGCCTACGACGTAGGTCTACGAGCGATGAGGTACGTAATTATTACTAGCCCACGGTACCACCGGATACTTCTTTTGCAGCTGGTAGTATAATACCAGCTATACGTGTTTACTCAGGTGTAGCCACTTTTCCGAAAATGTCCGAAACAGATTTATAATTATTTTTCCGAGAAACGTACGAGTACAGTAAGTGCGTAGGCTTTCTATTTGTTTTCATTCATACGATTGGAAATTAAAAACCATAATATCTTTTTATCGTTTAAATTTTTCATAATAATCTATTTCATAACTGTACCCGGTATATTTATTGTAATTTTTTTCATAATAATATTGTGTACATAAAATAAAATGTTTAAATAATATTATGTTGAAAATGGTAATTTATTCTCAAGGCAAACTTGCGTTCTCTGTATAATATTATATTAATTGTCTAGTACTGAGCTAGTAGGGTTTGGATGTTTATACACTTAAAATTACTGTAATATGTGTGCATTTATGCACTAAAAAATTACCAAATATGCACAAAAAAAAACATAAAATATGGATTTTAGTAAAAAAAAAAACCTCAAAATATGCCGAGTAAAATTTATTTTACCTTTAATATTACAATATAATTATAAATTATAAGTATGTATTTAATTATCCTAAGTTGATATTTTTATATTTTATATTTTTTTTAAGGTATATACTAATTATTAGTATGTGAAATATAAAAATATCAACTTATGTAAATTAAATACACACTTATTGTAAATTTTTTACAATATGACCTGTAATACAATGATTTTAATTTAATTTAATCAAACTTGAATCTGAAAATATTTAGAGCAAATACAGTTATACGGATCGATAATTTTATCATTTATCTATTCATTAATTTAGATTGTTATTAAAAAAAGGTTTAAAAGTTTAATGAAATATGCAAAATAAAAATTTAATTATTGGATGATTCAGTAGAAAATGAATCAAATTTGTATCTAAGTCCAAATTTAATTGGATCAATAGAAAAAAATATGCAATTTCATAAATGTCTGAACCCTACTAATACGGAACTCGAACGTTAAAGATTATGTATTATTTTTACTTGATATATCATGTGAGTTTATTTTATTGAAAACATTTAAAATGTATTAAATCTAACTTGATTTTTGTGGTTCCTTTTCATTTGTTTTTTTTTTCTAACTCTGCAGATTATTTTTTTTTTAAATATTCAATTTTTATGCCAACAACCGTGTCGTTGTTATTTATTTCACGCCTAACCTCCGACATCCGGTATTATGTTTGTGTGTAGATTACCAATTTTGGAGGACCATGAAGACTCGGACAATCCAAATGGCAACCCTTCTTCCGTGATGTTGAACCGGTATCCGCGATGGTTCACTCTGGGCCACATCGAAACACAACAGTGTACGCTAGCATCTACAATGCTGAGCGCTGCCAAAGGTATGTTGGTTTATCCTTTTCTCCGCGTATTCCTGATATCCCTTCTAATAATAATAATAATAATAATGAAAATATATCCGTTGCAGGAGAACTACTGCGACTGAGAACAGTACTGACATCGGCACAACGACACATACATAGCTCATCACATCTGTTTAAATTGGCGCAAGATGCGTTTCGTTTCGCTACACCAGAAAACGGACCAAGGCACCCACCGTTGTTGACCGTCGCCTTCGAACTCGGATTACAGGTATGTACGAACACCACGAACGCGTGCTATGTTATGGTTTCGCGTTTTGAACTCGAAACTTTGTATGACAAGAGTAAATATACCCCGTAGATGTTATTTTATACGTTAATAATTAGCGTTTATTTAAAATTGAGTTGCGAGTAGTAAAACGAGAGTTAATACAAACAAGAAAATGTTGATAAAAAATGAATTCATTATGTTATAAATATAGGAGATTATAGTTAAAGTGACTGAGGAGTGAGAATGATGAATAGATGTCGAAAAGTAGTTGCATGTAGGAATATGAAAAAGGGGACAGACTATAGACAAAGATAAAATTATACAAAAATAAGGATTCTACACCAGAAGGAACGAGGACAGTTGCAGGGAAGGATAGGATGTAGATTACTGATGATATTTTCTTGGCGAAGCGCGTTCGCATACACGACGAGAGTCTGTATAGCTGTCCGAAAGAGGAATGATTATAATTATTATACAAATGATATGATCATGACGGTAAACGTTATGGCTGAGATGTAATCAAAAAAAGTCACGAGATTAAATATATTCCCTTTATGTTTTTAAAATATAAAACCGTGTATCCCGTGAAATGGTATTTTGTTCTACAATAAAAAATTTAAGCGTAGATGTGACACGTATACCACACCCACAAACACAATTCATATACACATGCGTTGTATACAATTATGTGTACCGTTTCAAAAATGGCATTGTGTTATTATTAATTTATTTTTATTTTTCAACGACACATACTCTACCATTGCGCCAAGACGAAAATTCAGAAAAAAAAATTTCCTTTTAACAGACGATTTTTCTCCGTGTTCCCAGGTAATGCGCATCACGCTGGCTTCTTTGAACTGGCGACGTCGCGAAATGGTCCGGTGGTTGGTGACCTGTGCTACCGAAGTCGGCATGGATGCTCTGACATCTGTGATGCAAAATTGGTTCCAACTGTTCACGCCCACAGAAGCCACAGGTACTTACGCGGATAGCAATCAATCCCAATAAATAGTATAATACGCTGTGCGAATACGTTTCACGTAATATGTATTACTCATAGGCACAACTAAGGGGGGGCTTAGCCCCCACGGACCACGATTTAGCGTTCTCAAAAATATTCCACGTTATACATGACATACAGCATACTTAACTTAAAATAGTATCACATACAAAAAAAAGACACATTGCAGTAAATCCAACTTGGAATATAAAATACTAGTATATTAGTATAGTATATTAACATGGTATATAAGAGTAGGGGTAATCTACAGGTTATTTTAAATTTGTTAGGAGGGCTGTAGCCCCCCCCAGATTTTTACCCTAGTTGCGCCAATGGTGTTACTATCGTTGCATTTTCACGTACCTTTATCGAGGAACAATATTGTATTCAGTGGTGGAACTAGGAATTTTTACGCCCGGGGAAAATTTTAAAATTACGCCCTATCAATCGAAGACCAATAATCAAATACTCTTCTTGAGAATTTTTTTCTAATAATTAATATACAATCATACTTGTTGAGTTTTAACCTTATTAACAGTATTTAACAAAGTTAAAAATATAAAATTAGTTGTTAATAATTACAAAAAAAAATTACACCCTCTAATATTTTACGCCCAGAAATAAATCCCCGTCTTTCCAACATCTAGTTCCGCCCCTGATTATATTATATAATTGTTTAAACGAATGCGTTTTTTTTTCGTAGGACCCGTGGCCACAACGATCATGTCGCATAGCACCATGCTGCGGTTGAACTTGTCGTTCGAACAACAAGAGAAACTGTCAAGCTACGCTCGCACTTTGGCCCTTCAATGCGCGTCCAAGGTGAGCATATACCGCGGTATACCCGCAATAATTAGTAGGTAACGTAAAATATTCATAGTTCTGGTTCCAACCTGTGCATGACTGACTACCGTCTTAAACGAAAGTGTCTTCCTTGGGAAAAATGATATAGTCGATCGTCGCTACAGTATAATGTATCGCAATTGCACGTGAACAGCAAAAGAACTTGACATTGTGTCACTGCGAAACGTGTCTTCATGTACCTCTTTCTTCGACGGAATTGTTCATGTTTACGACACTTGTTCGACATCGTAAAATATTCTGTGACCGACCGAGAAATCGAAACCGTTTTCGTCCTGTTGAAATAAAGAACTGGGTATCCCGTTTCTGGTGCGTGTATCCGTCAAACGTAGACGGTCCCTTTATGGAAAAACCTGTACGATGAGATCAGATATTACCTACGTGTTGCTGCCGCCTTTGGCTATCGTTAACTCGTTGACCCTTGGATCGAAAACCCAACGGTGTTTCGCAATTATCATACGTTTGTTGTAATCGTTCCCCGTTTTGCAGGATCCACCGAACTGCGCGCTGAATGCTCTGACGCTGTGCGAGAACGACGCCACCGCCTTCGAGGCTGCTTACCAAATCGTGTTGGACGCCGCGTCGCACATCATGACTTCATCGCAGCTGTTCACGATCGCCAGGTACATGGAACACCGAGGATATCCGAATCGTGCGTACAAGCTCGCGATGCTCGCGATGAAAAACGTCCACTTGGCGTACAACCAGGTCAGTAGTGGTCCTACGTGATCGAGTCGTTTTATTCTTCTTCCGGTCCCATTTGTCAACTGTATAATTCGTTATCTGCGACAACTTTCGCTTAACATTTTTTTTAATTTTTTTTTTTTTAACTGTTGACTCAGGACACTCATCCAGCCATCAACGACATACATTGGGCCTGCGCACTGAGCCACTCTTTGGGCAAAAACGAGTTGGCCACCATGATCCCATTGCTGGTGAAGAACGTGCAGTGCGCCACCGTGCTGTCCGACATCTTGCGCAGGTGTTCGATGACGCCGCCCGGCATGACTTGTGCTCATACGTTACCTCCGCCCGATACAAGTGAGTGGTTTATTATTTAGCCTTTTTTTTTTTTATTTTTTTATTATTTTTTATTGCCGTACACTAGGTAGTAGTACTCTATTATTATTATAATCCTCGAGCCGGTCGTCCTATTGTGTTGTGGGCTAAGCGTCGAACGCACAATATATTGTAATATCCGACCGCCGTTTACTCTCAGCGCGCATTCTTCTCGTTCGGAATTGTAAAATCAAGAAATTTAAGTGTTATCATAAACACAATAAACGCATAAACTTTTGTCGGACGATAATGAGTGAATAATGTATTTCGACAAAATGTTTTAACACTTTTCTCCTAAACAGAGGAAAATTAACAATTTAAATAACTCATTAAAAATTATTATGTCTAGCCATAAATGAAACTTTTCAATAGGTAGCTAAATTCGTTAAGTGTACTTATGTGTCTATATATTTATTCTAATTTTCAAATGAATAATTCAATTTCAACATTGTTAGATTAAATATAAAAAAAAATAGTGAAAACATATAGACCATTTACGTTAACAAAAAGGACAGCAGCGTGAATTGTGTTTTATTTGGATGCGTCCATCCGATTGTAACTTCATAGGGCCTGTAAACCGAAATCTCGATTTGGACTAATAGAGTTCATTGTCGGTTATCGCGACGTCCAACAGTATGCCAGGATTAAAACAACGATTCTCGTTAACCCACCCCCGTCCCTAATTGATTGTATCGAATTGATCCGTTCGAACCCGCGGCGTGGTGCCGCACACGCGTCCCTTATCCTTTCCCGCCACCGCCATTTACTCGCCAACGAGACTTATTGACGGACAGATTTTTTCATGTCCCCAGGTAAACACCACCATCACCACCATCACCACCACCATCACCACCATCACCGGAACAACGGCAACAGCTCCTCGCGGTGCAGCATGATGAAGGGCCTGTCGTACGAACGGGCGCCGCTGCGCGTCCTGCTGGAGGCCGCGGTCGCCGCGTACGTGAACACCACTCACTCGCGGCTTACGCACATATCGCCCAGGCACTATGCGGACTTCATCGAGTTCCTGGGCAAGGCCCGGGACACGTTCCTACTAGCGCATGACGGCCACGCGCAGTTCGCACAGCTACTGGACAACATGAAGCTGGCATACAAGGGCAAGAAGAAGCTCATGTTCCTGGTGAAAGAACGCTTCGGGTGACTAGGGCATGGCGCGGCGACGCCTTTCCGTCGATGATTGATGCGGTGTGCTCGCGCCGAGTGCACGGTGTATACAGACTTACAACAACGACACCCGCACGACGTGCTCACCACACCCGCACCCGGTCAGACGCGAAATCTGCAATGCCGCGCTCGAGAAAAACAAGTCATCGGTGAAGTTACCTCCGCTAATAACCATACCTATAACATTATCTATAATGTCTCTTATTTAAATTGCTACTACATGTTTTTCCACGAATAATAATTTTTCTCGTTATCATGTTTTGTATTATTATTATTATTAACTTTTTTTTTCAACGACTCCATTATGAACGCGCATCGCCGAATCTGATATTATTACAGTTCATCCGACGCCCATTGTCGGGGGGCTCGGATCGGGTCCGCGCGATTTAGAATATACCAGTGGCAACAAAATTCCATGACTGCGACTCGTACTATACTGGTAATATACTGTTATACATTGATACCGTATCACAATGTCTGTCGGATAATTGTTTAAATGAAATACGCTGTAGTTTATTTTGTTTTACGATTAATTAATTTTTACGATATGAAATTAGAGAGAAAGGTTTTTTTTTCTTTTTATACTATTCTATTTAAATCTTTAAATGTTGACTGTGATTGGATCAAACGAACTCGAGCAATATCAGTTAGGTTTTTATTCGCGAAAAACTTATTTATTTTTATTATTATAATTTTTTTAATATCAACTTTTATGTATAATGTTGGTTGGTTTGTTACTCATAAATTCCTAGCAATTGTAGTCTCGCATATTTCTATATTAATTTATTTATATTTAATTGATAAATATCTAAGTTGACCTCATCTGCCATTGACGATATAACATTATATGAATGTAACTTAATTATATAATATATAGTATATATTCGAAAACAAAAAACTACATGCGTGATTAAAAAAAAAAAGGAAAAAAGAATAAAAAACAAAAACCTACGTTTTCTCATGCTTCGAGTACAATAATAATTAATATATGTACATTTTTGTGTAAATTTTATTTTAAAACTAAATTTATTTTTATTTTGTTTTTTTACATTTGCTTATACAATGATTTACAGTTAAGTATGCATAATCAGTGTACGTTACCCAATTTGTATTTGTGCAATCAGAATCTATTAGATTTTTTTTTTCTGTTATTATTTTGTTTTTGTAATTGTTTTTTTTTTTTTTTTTTTGTGTGTGATTTCGTGTGATTTGTATTCAATGTGTGTGATTTTACAAATTATACTGAAGCAACACTGGAATATATTTTTTAAATGTATGTATTCTAAGTTATAGGAATAACAGTTGTAGTTACAAAATAAAAAAATAATTTTTGTCCTCAAAATGGATGATATGAACTGCTCCTGAATGTTCACCAAAGCAATAAAATATTTTTAATCAAAGAAAAAACTATTTTTCTGTTTATTTATTTTGTAACTAAAGACTGTGGCATTTTATTTTTTTAGCTTTAAATACTTTGATTTTGTTAATTGTATTATTTGATAGTTTTAATCTAAGCGTGTTTATTTGTAGTTTTATTTTTCGCATATAGCCCTATTTAGTTTTACTTATAATTTTCTTTCATTAATATTATTTGTAAGTTATTAGGCTACTTATTAGACATCAAATATTCATTTTTTTTATGCCTATAATTTAAAAAAATATATTATGAATGTACATAAGATGAGTGCACAAGCATCATATTATGAATACTTATATAAATATATAATACATATATATTTATATATTAAGACCAATTGTATCATATATAATGTGTATTAGTTTTAAGAAGATGTTTATTATCAAAACATAAGAGATAAAAGTACATAAAAAATAAATAAAAAATAATAAAAAAAAATTGATCAAGTGTACAAAAATAGGTTACCTAAATGTTAGGCTTACTTTTGTATTGTAAATCGACTTTTTGTTTCTATTTTGTAACGGTGTGTTATTTTCAATGTAATTACGTACACATGATGTACGCAAACATGTATTTATAAGTATATATTTTTTTGGTTTTGCTCAATTAGAAAGAATGAAAAAAAAATCGATTGATTAAAAAAAATGTTAAAATTATGCGTACAATTGTATAAACATATTCATTATAAATATAACAAGAAATATTGTAATGATGAAATAAATTAACTCCCAATCATTACATTAAATGAACTATGCCCACCTATATATAAAATAATATTTTTTAAGATAGTTGTCGCTATGGTACCCGTATTATAATATACCATGCTAATTTTTAAATGAAAATCAATAAATAATTTAAGTAATATCTATAGTGTTAGTTATGTACCATAATATTATGTTATACCTAATTGAAGGAGATAAAAAAATTATATAAAAATAAATAAATACTGTAATATTTTATTGACTGACGTATATTTTAGGTACACTTTAGTAGAAGTGCCTAAATAATTTTAAATATTTATATAATATATTATATGCATATATATTTTTTTTGTACTAAAAAGAATTGTATTTTATGACATGTCCCATAATATCAATTAGGTACCATAGCAATTATATTACTAAAATTGCGCTTTGAAAAAAAAAATGTATTAAACCAGAATGGTGTTCACCCATCCCATTTTCAGTGAATTAGTTTTTAATTTTTTTTCTGTTAACGCAACTCAACTCGTAATTTATTTTATATTTTATGATTACAATAATTAAGTCTATACATACATATTTATTACATATTCATACAATATTTTGTATCTGTTTATGTGTAATTTTTTTTTTTCATTTCTACATATTATTATTAAGATCTCAGTTTACGATTATGAAAATGCTACAAACGGATGGATTCTCTTTTTTTCTTTATTATTATATACAATTTTTTTTTTTTTGTGAAATAATCCTGTGTACCTACATATTTTAGTTTTAGGTGAAAGTATATTTTAAAAATAAAAAAATAAAAACAAATATAAAATGTGAATCAATTAATAAAATCGTGTTAATGTATTATTTATAATATGAAAATAAGATCTTTAAGGTTTTTTGTAAAAAACACACAAGTTCCCTTGAGAAGTCTATAATTGAATCAGCAGAACAAACGCATCTTCCAAAGTACGAGTAAATCAACACAAGTAGAATCTTAAAAAAAAAGAACCCATTTTCCGGACACAATGTATCTCAGAAAACAATTAAATGCTTACCAGCAAGAGTATATCAATATTAAAAACCCACAGGTGGTGCTTAACATTAAATGATAGCAGTGGTAGTAGGTAGTATTGTTAAGTAGAAGCGCTAAGAAATCAGCCTAGGAATTGTGAGGTCTCGCAGTTGATCAAAACTTTTTTCTTTGAAATCAAGTGCACGTACTGTTGATGTGGCTACATAGGAAAAAGGCCCCAGTGGTGTATTTCAAAACCCTAACTGAACTGGGACACTAGTGACCGAATCCGTTTAGACTCCGTAGTGCACATCTTTATTACGTTCCCTAACTGATTTAGAACACACTATTAAATATTCGTATAAAATGAATATTTTTGTACCTATATTAATTATATTCATTTGCTAGAATAAAATTAGGATTGACTTTAGTTTAAAAAAGAGTGCAAGCAGGGAGACCTACTGAAAGTGCTCCTCCAAAGAAAAAATGAAAAATAAATCTAACAATATTGACGATAATAAATGTAGCTCCAAATTGCACTGACTTATTAACATAAAAATATAAATAAATAACAACAATGTAAATAATTTAATGTATTATTATGTTATTGACTAGGTATAGTATAAATAGCATTGTTAAAAATATATCCTCCCTTTTTTAAATTGATTTACCCAAATCATATGGAATATAAATAAATGTATTAGTTAAATTATTTATTATACTTATTTGTTTTAATATTAGCATTACACTATTGAAGTTTAAAAGTACTAAACAAGGTACGTAGAAAAAAAAAATACTGGAAACATAATTAGTATAGGTACAAAAATATCCATTTTACACGAATATTTAATAGTGTGTCCTAAATCAGTTAGGTAACGTACTGAAGACGCGCACTACGGAATCTAACCGGATTCGGGCACTAGTGCCCCAGTTCAGTTAGGGTTTGGAAATACGCGCCCCGGTACATTAAATAAAATACTCTCCCAATATTACGTTTACGCGTGGATAATTTAAATATTGGACGTACTTATCATTAGGGGCGGCCCCCCTCTCCAAGCTCGTACCATATTTATAAAAAAATGTATACTGTTAACAAAAAATGCATACTATAATATGGACACGCACAAGTATGTAGATAGAGCCATAGAAGTATGACGGTGTACATGATGTAACTGCTATCTATATTATGAAGAACCAATAAGGGTATAAATAAACTACATTAGTATAAAATATACTATGATATTATTATTTTATAATATTCAAAACATGAATTGCGTAGCACATTTCTGTACTGACTAAATTGTTGTTTTCTTTTTGTTATAAGGTTTTGTAAAATTATAACTTGAACCCCCCCCCCCCCTAACCAAGGCTTTTGAGCCGTCACTGCATACCATCGACATTTCATTATAATAATGTACGTTGTCGGAACAACAATTAGCAACGGTGCGGATACGATTTGTTTCTGCGCACGTGGAATCAATGGGGTTTACAGGACTGTATATAATATACATACAATTAACGATAACCCAACACATTATCAATTGGTGGTAGTGGTGATGTTTCGGATTTCTGAGATCGAACGAACAAAAAATTACCAATAGATTTTGCTGTTGGAAAGTACGTACCTCTATCGGAGAACATGTGTTCAACTAGACGTTTTTCGATGGTAATGATTCGCCGATAACATTCGCAGGATCAACGTTTAACCCGTGTTGAGCACGTGCGTAAACGTTAGTTTTGAAGTCGGAGCAGAACGTGACGTATCTACACAAAACGTACTAACTGCGTCTCGGGCGCATACCGTTCGGACGAATGGCGCATTCAAGAGCCGTTCTACGTTTCTGCGGGACGTGGGTTCGGTGTTGAGTTAGTGTTGAGTTGACAGGTGACTGTAACGAGAACGGGACGAAAAAATAAAAAAAAATCGTAATAAATGATTTCACAACGACGAGCGAAAAAAAAATAAAGTCGTCACTTCGTGCCGGTACGGTACACGGATTTCCCGTTTTACATTTCTTGTAAGCTCACGTAAATCGTACGTTGTTTTTATTCTTAAAAGAAAAAAAACTCTCTCTAAACTTTACTTACTCTATGGTACACGCGCAGGATTGTTTATTGTTTGCGACTGA